AAAATTTTCTATTGGAGGAGCAATTGATTTCATTAGATTAAGTCGCGGCCCTACGGAATCCGTAATGAGATATATAAAAAAAAATATATATAAAGGAGCTAGCTCGAAGATGCGAATTTGAAGATAAAGTAGAACTAAGAATTCGCGATCAATTAATCGCCGGAGAACTATGTTTACGATACCTAGATACTAAAGGCGAAGACCAACCGTGAAACTTAACAAAATTATAGAATTTATGATAATGATAAAGGGCACTATCAAAATGATTGATGCAGCCTATTTAGATTTCCATGGATTATAAAATTTATATGATAAAGGCACGATGCAGCCTATTTAGATTTCCATGGATTATAGAATTTATGATAATGATAAAGGGCACTATCAAAATGATTAATGCAGCCTATTTAGATTCCATGGATTATAGAATTTATACGATATATCAAAATATTGATACAGCATATTTGGATTTTCAGGAATTATAGAATTTGACATATCGTTACCAACATATGTAGAAAGTAGAAATTAACATGATCAACAATATAATGATAATGTTAACGTGAATATTGACAAACTATATAGAGAAACCTGGAGTACTCCAATGGTAGTGGTACGTAAAACTTCAGGTGAACTACGATTGAGAATAATTCTACCAACGAATCGCAAAAATCGCTATAGATCTACAGATAAATGTTGTTAAAATAACAAGCGAAAATAAAACAGTGATGGTGGGAACAATTGGTCTAAAAACTAGAATCGCCATCACAATCCTGGAAAAGGGAAGAAGAAAAAGAAGAAACAAAACCTATTTAAAACATTCCGACCAACTACGCGAAATCAAATCAATAATAAAAATTAAACTAAGTCAAAAAGGAAAGCAAACGGGTTATACTAAAGCCAACAAAAAAAATATAGATGAACTTGAACTTGGTAAATAAAGAGATTGGTAGACGATCTTAACTTGAATCAAAGTTTTTTTTTCAGGACATATTATCATTAAGTATTTAGAATTAAAAGAATTTGTTTTGACCACAAGGGAAATCAAATAGGCGTCAATATTAAAAGTGTAATCAATTCAATTTTAGAAGAATACACAGAAGTAGAAAATTATTTAAATAAATGTATAGTTGTGACTGATAACGGAGCAAATCTTATAAATGCATTCAAATATGACGAAACGCTACCATGTGTATGCCATATACTAAATAATATTATGCATCATATTTTTGACAATTGTTTAACTGAAATATCCTTAAATATAAATGATGTAAAATTATAGTATAATATTTCAAAGAATCTACAGCTAATAGCAAGCTAAACCACACCCTTAAACAAGATGTAATAACGATATGGAAACTCTGTATATATCATGATTCAGAGTCTCTTAAAATCATATTCTGAAATACGGGTGTACTTGTTTAGCAAGCAAGAATTAAATAATTTAGCCACAATTGATATTAAATCATACTCGAGTTAGATAAATTTTTATTAATATTTAAAGAATGTTCGGATAATCTGAGCATAGATTCTGTACAACAATGAATGAAGTTTATCTATGGAAACAAAAATTAGTAAAATTTTGGTAACCTTCTGAACGTGATACAATAATAATCAAAACCTTAAAACATAACAAGATTTTTTTAAAAAAAAGATCTATTAAGCAGCCCTACATAAGGTAGGCTTAATTCTAGATACGAATTTCAAAAGTCTTAGTTTTTAATAGAAGAATAAAAGAAAACAACTTTAAAAATGCTAAATGATATAAAATTAGATGATATGCATAAGTCAATACCAACTATCATTTATAACTTTCCTAACTTACCCTAAACTCATAAAAAACCGTATATTCTAAATGAACAACTATCATTTATAACTTTTCTAATTCATCCTACATAATAAAAGACCGTATATTCTAAATGGTCAACTATCATTTATAACTTTTCTAATTCATCCAACATAATAAAAGACCGTATATTCTAAATTTAGAAATTTCTAGATGATTCTGATGAAGCATCAACATCGATGAAAGCTGTAAGGATGAACTTAAAAGATTCATCGTTCATAAGAGAAATAACAAGACAATATTTTGAAGTTTTGGAAGCGGGAATATTCATTTCCTTTTTTGAGAAAATTAGCGAGCAATATTTTGTCAGCCCCAGCAAGTTAGGTTTCTAGTGAAAGGTTATATTCTGTAACCAATCTCTTTAGAGAAAAGGCGTACACAATGAAATAAAAAGATGGACATTCTTCTTTTTCTCAATAAAAATTTAAAAATATTTATTTTTTGTTATTAATATGGATTATGATTAATGAAATAAATTAAAAAAATATAAAATAATAGCAATAGTTTTGTAAAATTTAAAAACACCATGAATTTTCGGGCGTGAATTAAAATATTGCCTTTCGTGAGCGGGCGGGTGGAAATTTTTTTTATTGTGAGCGGGCGGGCCGTGATTAAAAAATTAGACCCGCGCCCACCTCTAATATCCATTAGCAATTTAGAGTTAAGCAAATAAATATATTTCGGCTTAAAATTAAGGTCGAGCCAACTCCTGAAACTTGTCTAATCGGTTTGAGCCTTAGCCAATTTATACAACTTTAGGGCAGATCCCCAAAGTTATTAATTAGATAAACATTTATTACCCTCATTTTTTGATGAAATATCTAAAAATCGATAAATTTTTCCCGGTCTTCGAAGATAATTATTTCGAATAATTTTCAGATTATAAGAGAACAACTTTTTTAAAAGAAACCTATTATTGATTATATGCTAATATTGAAATATTCGTCCTCTATGCATAAAATCGAACAAAATTTCTGTTCGATGCGGATCTATGGATTTGGTCCACTCATTTGGTTGTTTTGGTTCATTTTGGACCAAAAACCCAACCAAAAATTATGCTAATTTGACCCAACCAAAAATTATGCTAATTTGACCCAACCAAGCAATTTAACAACACTAACAGATAGGTATATTGATAGAAATTTTGGCATACCTCCAAAAAATTCCTTTAATTTTATGACATTCGTTTGAGTATCAATAAGCGCTATTTTTATAATGGTAAAGTTCCTGATTCCGGCTATTAAAACCATTGGTAAGCCCGCAAGCATGGGAAAAAATTAAATTATATTGGGCCGGACTATTTGTGCATAAAAATCTCTAAACTGGACAATTTATACATAAAATTATAGGTAGGGCCTCGTAAATGATTTTTGCAAAATTTAAAAAAACCAGCCCGTTTTTTTGAATTATAAGGTAATTAATCCTATTTAATAAATTTCAATATGCTTATTTCTTTGTATTTTATGAACTGTCTACCTAAAGTATTAAATCTATAAATATAGTAAATTCAAAAAATAATATTTATAAAACGGTTGTTGTAGAAATAGATAACCTTAGAGGAAGGATATAGGAACCTTAATTTATATTGGAAAAAAATATAAAATGTGATGACCAGAAAATTTGTAAAAATTTAACAGCCAGGAGAGTGTATTTTCTTAAACTGAAGAACAGCTATTCCTAAAAATGGAAAGAATGTTGATTATTTAGATAAAAATTATTTAGTGTTGAAAGTTAATATGAACACGAATTGAAGATGCCAAATTATTTATTAAATACAATCAATATCATTCTAAAATAACATATAAATTAATAAAACGTAAAAGTATAAAATCAAACTAAAAATTTATATAAAAGTTCCCTTTCTTCTTTTTCTCTCTCGTTTTACATTTTCGATCTCTATTTATACTATTAAAATTCACATACCATCGATATTTATTTTATACAATTGTCCTTTAATTTGCTTATAATTTAAACATTTATTACCTTTACAATTTAAACATTTTATCCTTACAAATTTTATATTCAAATTAACTTTTTTTTAAAAAAATAATAATTAATTCAATACACGTACTCGACATAGAGAACCAAGAAAGGTAGATGGAGCAATTCTAAGTAACAGACACATTAAATGGAGCTTCGATTTCTATCGTAAACCTGGAACGTGAATCAAATCCATCCTATGAATAACGTACTAAAAATCAATGTGAAGGATTGAATAACCCTTTTTCTAATCAAGGTGGCAATAAACGCCCAACAAATGAGATGCAAGGTGACAAAACAAAACTTAGAACGATGGCATGTTGATCTGATATAAAAGTGCATAGCTAAAACCATACACAAGTTGGTTAAAAAAAACTTTGTAGAGAATTACTTGATGGGATGCTAGACTTGCCTGATTATAAGAGCTATGTTTTTTTAAAAATTTAGTCAAGATTAGTTTTTAGTATCACAATTGTAAATATTTTTAACCTAATAATTAAAGGTCAAGAAAGAAAAATAATTAAATAATTTTTAGAAAATTTTTTTTTTTTGGGGGGGGGGGGTTTGATTCATTTTTTGAGGGTTTCCATGCCGTTTACAATTTTTAGTTTTCTATGTTCATTTTCATTGAAATCGTAATTTAACAGGATAATATAATTTTATCCATTTCCAAAAAATAACGATTAAAAATTGTTACTTCCTTAAGACTTATCTTCATTGAAATCTTAATTTAAGATGTTTACAAATAGTTAGTTATTGCCATTACTTCAAAAAGATTCAACAATTGACACTTTTCACAGTACATTTTTATTGAAATAATTAATTTTACATTATATATTCCAACCCATTTGTTTCAAAAAATAATAAAATTGACAATTTATAAAATTTAAAATTACCCAAAAAACCAAAACTTAAAAATTACACCAGTAAAATCCAATTTAATTTTTTTTATATCTTCACAAATTATTAAACAGAGAAGATTTTTAAATTTCAAAATTATCAAGAATCATAAAATTTATTTTTACATCAATAAAATGTGAGCAAAATCTTTTGTCCAAATTTTTTTTAAATAAAAGATATATACTCAATTTTTGGGTAAGAAATATTTGTTAAACTCTGGATTTAACAATAATGTAGTAAAACAAAAAGTCATATATTCCATAAAATCAGATTAATTTTAGGTTTTATAATTCAATCGTTTATTAGTATAATGTATTTATTACTCAAAAATCAATGTAGTAAAGAAAATAGCATGTTTCCCAAAAACAAATAGTCATAATCCATAAAATAAGATTACTTTTAAGAGTTTTATAATTCAATTGTTAATGTATATATTACTTATATATAAAATTTTAACATTGAAGATTATGGTATAGGCGGCAATCCAGGTGGAGGTGGAGGAGCATGTTTAATCATGGTGCCTAATATAAAAGGTGAAATATGTTGTACATTAAATAAATCAGTAATTTATGTATAATTAATATATTAATTTTCAAGTTGAAAAGATATAATCAGTGATGGAATTATCAAAACAGATACTAACAGGGTAACAGTCGACTATTATCAAAAAAATTATTATATAAGTTTAAAGAAAAAGAAACAAATATTAATTTAATTTATCAATTATAACTAATTTATGAAATTTTAAAAAGCAAAATAAAAAAACCTGGTATAGTGGGAGCCTCTAAATTAATAGATCCTAATCCAATTCCAGGTGGTGGGGGCGGAGGGGGTGCTATTTCATTTAATGTGTGAGATAACGGAATCATAGTGGAAGATTCATTTTGTGAATGACTATGGACTTGTGTGTTGGGTTGAGAAGATTGGTTCATTTTTGATAACGATTCACTCATTTTGAAAGCAAATTGCAAATAGAACTAAAGCCATTTCACGTTGAGTTAATTTTTTATAGAAATTTCAATTGTATTTATGCATGTCGTATTATGATATGGAATCCACGAATCATATTCTACCAAAAATGAAATATATTCCAGCATGCGCAAAATACCAACGATAAATTTCAAAAAATTTTCGCCAAAAACATTTTGTATTTTTTTGTTTTATATATCCATATAAATTAAGAGTAGTTCTCAAGTTCACATCAAAATTGCTTGTAATTCAGTGTGGTTCTACGTGCTGAAATACATTTATGATTAAATCGGAATATAAAAGTCGCCCTCCTCAAATGATTTAATATCGAGTTTCCGAATCACCATGAATTCCATATCCCAATATGACACATAATTATATAATTAAACACATGTAAAAATAAAGTACTAGCAAAGAAATGTAAAATTCACTTCTTTCCACAGTCCTGTGGCAATTATTTTGGACTTAGGCACAGCCTATATTTTGGTTCAAATTTTAGAAAAAGGTTTATAGGGAGGGAATCTTATACTAAAAATATTAATTCAATCTCTATCTTAATGCTATTCATAAAATTTAAATATTCAAGATTTGTTAATTTAATTATATTTATTTTAATTACAAAATATATGAAACTGAATAGTAAATATTACCCACCTCCTGATTATTTTTTAAATTCATTTAAAATTTTGATAAACAAAACCTACGTGTTAATGATGATAATTACTGCTGGTACAGTCCTGCAGGACTCACAAATAATGGCTTATGGGAAATGGTAATATTTATATAAAATTAAATTATCTTTTATTTTTTTTAGAAATATATCTAAATATTTGTAAGCAATATACCTTTTAACCCTTTCGCGCCCATGGATAACTTTTGGAATCATAATTTTTCAATAGTAATTTATATGCATTAAAAATGGGCACTGATAACTTTTGAAATCATATTTTTAATATTTGCTCTTTCGTATTTTATCACTAACTGTTTTGTTTCATATGTTATTATATCATATTATAGTTTTAAAAAATCAATTTTTTCTTACCATTTTCGCGCCAAAATTTTTCATATTTTCGGTTATCAAAACTTGCTAAAAATATAAGTAATAATTTTATTATATATGTATATATTAATATTTTTATATAAAAATTATCATCTTTTTAAACATTTTAGGTGCTGGAATTTGAGCATAATGCCATTTGGCATCAATGGTCATTTCTTATGTACTAAAATATTTTTTTATCAATAAATGGGAATTTTAGTCAAATTATTTAGAATATTTAGATTTAGGGTTAAAACAGAAGTGGGGAGGGGGGGGATAATCAGATTATATTTTGATAATAGTTAACTGTATTGATTATTTAATGGCTAATAGTTTTCTTGGATATAGGGGGAGGTCCTAATAAATATTTTATATATATAACATGTAATAATATGAGATACTTTTTAATCACTATGCATTTAGATATGACTACACTTATCCCCGAGGATGATATTTCTGAAGCTGAGAGATACAAATATTTATTCCTTCCAATGTTGTGGAAAATCTATAAATACTGATAGCAATGAAATTGAAAAATTTATTGGAATACATTTGTATACTAGCTTAGTTAAGATGCCTTCTATACGGCAGTATTGGTCGGTTGAGACATCTATTCCACAAGTATCAGAAGCTATGTCCCGCAATCGTTTTCTTTTGATCCGAAAATTTTTCCATATTAATAATAACAAAAATATAGTAAATAGAGAAGATAAAGTTTACGACAAATTATTCAAAATTCAACCTTTCATATGGCAGCTAAAAAAAGATTTCAAAAAAATTCAACTCGAAGAGAAGTTAGCTGTAGACGAATTCATAATTCCTTTCAAGCGGCGCTCTAAATTAAGGCAATACATTAAATCGAAGCCCCATAAATAGGGGATAAAAGTGTTTGCCCTATGTGGCTCTTCTGGATTTATGTATGATTTTGAAATATACAAGGGAAAGTCTACTAATACTATAAAATCATATTTAGGTATCAGTGGAGATATCGTACTTCGCCTGTCTGAAATAATACCATCAAATAAAAACCATAAATTATATATGGATAATTTTTTATCCTCATACCAATTATTTATGATTCTTAAAAAAAGGATATTTGGTGTCCGGAACGGTAAGGTCTAATCGATTATCAGGATGCACACTTAAAAACGATAAGGCTTTAAAAAAGGAAGGAAGAGGCGTTGTAGATTATAAAAGTGAAAAAAACGGTATTATTATCTGCAAATGGCACGACAACAAAGCTGTTATTACTATACCTAATTTTATAGGTGTTTTACCTACGACCAAAATTAAACGATGGTTTGTATCGGACAAAACTTTTATAAATGTAGAAATGTCCGCTATAATTAAAAACTATAATGAGGGAATGGGTGGAGTAGATCTTCACGATATGCTGGTGGAGTTATATAGAACAGATATTAAATAGAAAAGATATTATATGCGAATGGTTTTCCATTTATTAGATTCTTGTGTAATAAATGCATGGCTCCTTTATAGACGCCATATGAAAGCAAATAATATCAAATTTATGATATTATTAATATTTAAATCTCAAATAGCAAAAGGGCTGATGCTAGCAGGAAAGGATAATAACAAGAAGACTGGAAGACCTTCCAGTATAGTTGCAAAGAGAAGAAAAGCAATAAATATTGTCCCTATATCGGATATAAGATATGACCAAGTAGGTCATTTCCCAAAGCCCGTAACAATTAAACAAAGGTGCAAGTATTGCGTATGCATATTCAAGAATTGTGTCAAAAGTGTAATATTTATTTATGTTTTAATTATAAACGAAATTGTTATTTGTCATTCATATGAAATGAAATATTTTTTTAAATGAACTTGCATTTTTTCCATTGATGACATTTGGAATCATTAAATATTTTTTGATAGAAATACTCGAAATAAGTTTTTTTGATAAAAATGTGTTATTTGTGTCTATAATAAGTATCTCTTAAAAAAAAATTTTTCATCGAGGGAAAAAAAGTCGGGCGCGAAAGAGTTAGATCAAAGATTTGATACCCTTCAAAAAAATTAAATAAGAATTTAAACTCACCACTTTTGTAATCCATCATCTGATTCTGAAAATTCTAAATCAGATGAATTAACATTACCATGGCCCAAATATGATAAATATTTTACAGTAACATCCTATATTGAAAAAACTAATTCAATACTTAGCGAATGTAAAATGTGCCCAAAAAGCATTATATCAGTTTTGAAATCTTCAAGTTCCAATTATTTTATTTTATATAATATAACTAAGTAATATAAAATTTGAAGAAAAATGCATTTGGGCTAATTGACCCCAAATAACGATAGTTATTTTAAAATTAAAAAAATTAGTGTCTAAAATATGGTAAACCATTGATAGACACAGTACTATATGGGATTAATAAAAGTAAACCTATCACTATCAAATAAATTACATATATTTTTTTTAAGATTTGAACATGTATATATATGAAGATCAATATGTTCTTTCTACAATTATACATCTAGTATTCAAGCTTCAATGGCTATGGATAAAACTTCTATAGAACAAATCTATAAAAAATACTTACATTATTAAAAAAAATGCATTGAAAACCCTAGAAATGATAATGCAAGATCTGTTAATTTCAAGATATTCATTTATTTTGACGAGGAAGTGGAGGATGGATTAAAGGAGGATAAGTTATCTCAATTTTTTGTAGCAAAAAACAAAACAATAAATGTTTTAAATAATTCCCCACGTTCAAAGAGTTGTTTATTAAGTATAATATCGCAATCCCCTTATCTGACCCTGTAGAATGCGTTTTTAGTAGAGTTAATTACCGTATTAACTGCCAAGCGTTCCTGTTTATCAGATAAAAATTTTGAAAAACGATTGTTATTAAAAATTAATAAAAAAAAATTTTTATAAATAAAAGTATCTTTTTATTCGCTCTATTATATTGTATTTATAATTATAGTATCAAAATAAAACTATATTATTTTTTAACATAGCTAATATATTATGTTAAAAAAATATAAGACATTTATTTATATTAACGCATTTGATCTTCATACTAATTTTTATTGGAATATTAAAAATTAAAATATAAATATTATGTCAGAAATGCACCAAATAATCCTTTCAGGCATAATATAATAAATTGGAAATATTAAATTAATTTAATGCCAATATTATCTTTATTGAAAACCAAAATATTAAGATTATATATATATTTAAACATTCTAATTTACTACACAAGTTATAAATTATTTACATTTGAAAGAAGAATTAAACTAATCTGGTATTTATTATTTTTAAATTTTCCAATGATAAAATTTTATGTTTAAAGCTATAAAATTATGAATTTAAATTATTAAAAGTAAAACAAAATAAAGATGAAGGGTCAGCCAATCCATGTTCTATTTAATTTTTAAATTGCCATGCCTCCTAGTAGGAGTGTATGAATAACATTTTATGGAGGCCAATCGATATTAAATTGATAAAACCATATAATAAAAATCATTTATTAAATATATTATAATGAAATGGTCATTTATAGTTTATATTCATGAATCTAAAAGTATATAAAATATTTTTATTGATAAATCCCATATTTATATAATAAAATTAATCTATTTACATAATAACTATTAAACAAATATATTATGAAATTTAAAATAAATATTTTAATTAATAATTAAAATGGATTTGGATTCTATTTATAAAAATAAATGGTTTTTTAGATATAACTTTAAAAATTATTTTCCAAAATCTTATCTCTATAAAATGTAATTATCTAAAAAAATTAAGATGCCATTTTATAGGATCGAAAAATTTATAATATTGGCCAAATCGGTACTAGGTTTTAGATGAGAGATGTGGCTCCTCATCAGATTCAAATTTAAAAAATTTACTAATGTTAAGAGCAAATAAATGATTACAAATATTTTTGATGCATCACTCTTTGATTTTAAATATATTGACTTAAAAAA